CCAGAGTATTGGGGACTCTTTCTAAGCTGGCACTCCGGGATTTGACAATATAAATTCAAAGTACACGGCATAAGGAGTCTATTGATATAATCCATATGGCCGACCAACCTCGGGTTCGGCGCTAGTGACCACTTTTATCGGGAAAATGTAACGTATCCAATACTAATATGTGGTATATGAATTCGATGTAGAATTTAATGTAGAACTAGAATATCACATTTTCACATTGGTTGGATCAATCGATTTTATGTTATTCACTTAAAACTGTTGAATTTTAGATAAAATTAGTAACAACCAAATATCCTTCAACCCCTCGAGATGATATTACGATATACTAATTCTACGTTAAATTTTACATTGATTTCATATATAATGTAAGTATTGCATAAGTTAAATTTTTTGCTAAAAGTGGTCACTGCGGCTGAACCTGAAGTCGAGCGGTCATATTGAAAGATCAATTTATTCCATATTTGACGTTGTTCAATATCACACAACAAATCGCTTTTTTGTAAAATAAATTCTAAAAATTAGCTAACCTATGTCTTTATTACATATCTTATAAACCCTTATTACAGATCTATCAGATCCAAAAATGGAAACTGATACTGATTGGTATATCTGTAATGGGGAAATAGGTTTAATGTAATTTCAATTTATTTTTGGTCCGCAATTAGTGGTAGTGGCTATTGGGGCAAGAGTGTCGAAAGTGCCCTAAAGATGTGTATGATGTTAATGTAGATAGTAGGGGTTAAGAAATAATAGGTTATTTTACTAATTTTATCTAAAATTCGACAGTTTTAAATGAATAACATAAAATCTATTGACCCCACCGATGTGAAATTGTGATATTCTAGTTCTACATTAAATTCTACATCGATTTCATATATCATATATTAGTATTAAATAAGTTGAATTTTCCCGATAAAAGTGGTCAATGTGGCCGATCCCGAGGCGGCGCAACAGTACGGACTACACGAGGGGACTTCTTATTTCATGTACATTCATGTTATTGACCCCAACCGGTTAAATAAACAATAACTATGTAATTAACATTTTAAATGACTGTTGTTGGTCAAATTATGCCATTACTAACAGTTCAATCGAGTTTACCGTTGTTTAAATATGACTAATATTGATCACCTCGACGAGACCTTTCCATTGATATATCATATGATATGCTTTGAAGTGAAATAATACACTTTTACTACACCCGAAATATTGGTCACTTCGGGACCCGATTTGGAGGTCATGTACCACTCGGATCGGGTCGACTTAATTATAACTATTGTTAGGTATCATGAGATCTATCGATTGGCACCGAGAAAATCGTGGCACCTCTCAGAGGACAATTTGCCCGAGGATTCGATATTGTCCTTTACATTGTAATAATTAAAATTTATATTCTTAACAAAATGTCTGGCATTAAATGCAATGAATTATTGCCCAAAGAATTGCGAATACAATCAGCAGAGAATCAATTGTATAGAATCGGGTTATGTTTACAGAAACCTACAATTTACAGAAAACGGCGATGGTACGCAAAACCAATAGGAATTGCAATAAGTTATTGGACTTTCATAGTATTTAACATTATTTTAGTTATAAACAACGGTCAAAACCAGACAATTGTATTAGTATTTGGCGATTATTGCCTGGATATTATCTGGTGTATCATTTGCAGCGAGTATTCAATTGTTATATGCATATAATTATTGGAGAGATATTTCACCCACATTTCTGCGTGTATTTGAGATGCTTTCGGGTATTATAACCCCCAATAGTGTGGGTCTATCGGACCCCCAATCCCTCTATCGGTTCATCAAAACAGCGAAAACTATATTCAAAATCAATTGTTTAATAAGCGATAAAATCCCAGTATTTGGCGGTTTGCTGTGTTTTATACCGTATATACTTTATGTGCCTATTGGTCCGGCACTGACTTTTGGTTTACCAAATAGCATTTTACTTAGCATTGTTATCCATCATGGAATTAATTCTATATCATGGTCATTTATTTATTTGTATTTGTTATCATATTATTAGTAGAACCATTTAGTTTTGACGTTTTTGATTTGATTTTCAAAATTGTTTTATTCTTAAGATAAATAACTTTAATAAATTCTCTACTCTCCATAACAATAATCAACAATCCCTTATTCTTGAATAAATTTTTCAATTTTCTATTTCAAATATTAACTCGATTTTTAGGCAAAAAACTTAGACACAATGAATTAGACCCACTTCAGATTTTATTTGCAAATTTACTACCTTGCTCATCTCTAGTTTTGCTCATTTTTGGTGTACATGAATCGGGATACTACTGTATGTACAAGCAATATGTACAAGCAAACCTGTTTAATGGCCCGGGAGCTAAAGGTTAATCAAAAAATGGTTTTTTAATTGATTTTTCAAAAGCAAACTGTTTTGACATTTTCTCAAAAATTTCAATTAAATTTATAAATAATTGCGAAAAATGGTTATTAATATATAGTCTTAACAAAACTATACACTATTTTATAATAAACAGGAATTACGAAAAGAGAATAATTTGAAAAATTTTGCTGAATTAGTAGTTATTTGGAGCGAAAGCCAAAAATAACTTAATTTATTCGTTATATACTTGTAGTGAAGATCCTCTAGAAGAGAGACAGATATTCAAGAGTTACAAAAACACAATAGAAACGAAGTGAATGAAGACGAAGAGAATTAAATGAACAACAATTTCTTTTGTATAGATAAATAGTCTGTAAGAACTCCGGTCTTTAGAATGATTTTTGAGCGTATATTTTAAGTGTCGGTGATTTGAATGAATGCATGAATGAGATTGAAAGCAAAGCGACTAATTTAATACATTGTATTGCATGCATAGCTATATTAGTGTAAAATATAATTACCATGATTAAATATGATTATTGATGATTTATATTTATATTGTGTACAGAATTGACGACCACGGTGATCGGTGTGACGGGTGGCAAAGTGGCCCTACCCTGTAATATAACGCCCCCCACATATGACGACGCCGTCTCCCTTATCCTTTGGTACAAAGACGAGTCCACAACACCTATATATAGGTCTGACCACTAAAATCCATATCAATATATTATTACACAATAATTAATAAAAATAATAAAATTTTTCGTTAATTACTGTTTGGCATAAAAAATATGTTAATTAAAGAAGAAAAGTGTAATTTTCGAGTTTAGCTTATGTTTGGATTTTTTCCGTTTGGCTTTTATTCTCAAATACTAATTAAACTCACGAATGATTACAACGGAATCAACACAAGAATTTCTAATTATATATCCCTATAATTATATTCTTGTGTTGAACGCCATTATAAGCCGTTTTTCTGTGCAAATATTTTGGTGTCATTTTCTCTAATACTATCTTTAGTTTAGATTTTTCACTCTTTTAACAATAATAAAAAATATTATTATTATATCAAAACGAAAGCCAATCCAATAGATAATACGGTCTTATTATCAGAAGCCGTGACTCATATTAATGGGTTTATGGGTTTATTTAATCTCATTTCAGACCCTAAATGATAAAATTAGTCTCATTTCATGCAAACACTCGTAAAAACTTTTTCTCTCGTTTATTCAGTATATATATCGACAAAATAGTTGTATATTTTGTATATCTCTGGCGCACAGGTATTATGGCCTCGAATAATGGTTTAGGACATTATGCTATCATTTTTCTAATTGCCTGCAATTTTTCATAAAATGAAAGATAATTTTCCCCAAATATTTATGTTTTGAATCAGACTTTACTTTAAATTTCATATCAAAAACGGTATTAAAATTGTTTCCGAATTTTTAAATTATCTTTTTTATTATTTTGTTGGAAGTATTTCAGGAATTTTTAAATCACATAAAGATTTTTATCGATTATTATATTTTCATTTTGTTTCGCATTAAAGAAAATTATAATAATTTGATATAATCTGCAGTCAAATAATTTTTGCATAAAAACTAATAGCAATCCTTTTGGGAGATATATTTTATTGAACTTCATATAGAAATTCAGTTCAAATAAAAAACATAGAATAAGAGATGAGTCTCTCAATCAAAACACCATTTACTCAACAACTGATAAAATGATTAAAATTACACCAAAAAAATTAAATCAAGTTTAATCGCACACAATATGTTTCCCTTAAAACGATTCAAATGAATAACAAATTAAGCAATTAATCAGATTTTAGCGCAAAAAAGTAGAAAATTTATACATAAAGTATATAAACATATAAATGAATTGATTAAAAGAGATGTATAGACTGTAGTGAATGTGTTGCAGACGTCGAGGCAATGGCTTAACGTATTGATGGAAATAGTAATATAAGTAAGAAGTTCTTAGCTCTAGAAGTAATTACCATAATATATATCCTCTTATGCCTCTTATGGTACTTATTTAGAGCTAATTTTTACGCTCTTCTCATACACTGTATATCAATGTTTTTTTTCTTTATTGGCACTAATTTTTATGCTTCCCTTCCCTTCGCAATGAATTAATGTATGAATTAAAAGAAAAAACCAAATTAACTCGACTTTATTTTTGGTTGAATTTCTCATTGTTTGATTGCATTAATATATGTTTGGTTTTGTGCGGCAATAGTCTGGACGCGAGGAAAGGCAACTTAGATCAGGCGCGACACGCGTCTGAAGATAATCTGATATCGCGATCGTATATGAATACCATTCAAAGACCGGCGCATCTCATGCTTGAGCTCCTGTCGACAGAAGACGCCGGAGAATATCGGTGTCGCGTCGACTTCAGGAAAGCCAGAACCAGAAACTCTGTTATCTTTCTCGAAATTATTGGTAAATATTATATGATTTATATTTTTCTTGAATACTGTGCACACGAAAAGCCCACGTATTTGTTGCCCATTATATTGAGTGAGTTTTGCAGAGCGTTTCGGAAAAGTGTTGCTAAATATTATTATACATAAGCGGCGGGTCTTGTCTGCACACATCGGTTCCGCTCCGACACTCTTTCGACACTTTCTTTTTAAAATAATAAACTCTTCACTTCTTCTTCTCCTCACATGTTATTAACATTCGCTTACATTTGAATTACTTTTGGGTTTTTAAGCGTCGGTTTTTTGTCGCATTTAAAGACAAGATAAGTGACATAATGTATAATTTGTTGAACACTTATATTATACGATAAATCAAATGTAGAAAAACAAAACAGCAATTAAATGAAAATATGTTTGAAATGAAGAAATTTGTTTTGCAATTTCTTATCTATTTTTTTAATTAGAAAATTGTTCGTCAATCCAGAAAATAGTTTAAAATATTCAGACAATAACGTTATCATTACATGTAATGATGTAATCGATGCAAACATACAAATATATAAATAGCAATAAATATAACAGTTAACGAAATTACAGATAATATATTTTTATTTATTTTTAAACGTATTCACCGATCATTTAAAAGTTTAAATTGGAGTAAATATATACAAAAACTATTAGTTTTGTTGTTTTATAAAGTTTAAGGAAAACACAATAAATACTAATTTATAAAAATAAGAGAAAAGCATAAAACAATCTTATCTTAAATGTTAATTCGATAAAAATATATAAACCGTAAATAGAATGGGAAGGAAAGGGAGGGGAGGAGAGAGAGAGAGAGAGAGAGAGAGATTAATAAATAAACAATATTTATAAATAATTGANGAGAGAGAGAGAGAGAGAGAGAGAGAGAGAGAGAGCGAAGGGATGAATTTAATGCAGAAAAATAAGAGCAAAAACTAAAAGTAAAGTAAATTCAAGCGAAAGTGGTTTCATGTGATAAAAAGTAAAGCATTTCGTAAGGAATCCCCAATTCTGTCATTTAATATATAAACCGTTCGCGCGATTAAACTTTATGACCACTATTTTATTGCTAAACAAAAAACTAAACACTTCTTCGTTGGTCTATGAATCAGTTCCACCCGAGAAACCAGTCATTATGGACGGCAACGGAGAGCCACAGCCGGCCCTCATCGGGCCCTACAACGAAGGCGACCGACTAGTGTTGGTGTGTGTGGTAGAGGGGGGCAAACCTACCCCATCCCTCACGTGGTGGAGAGAGTCTGTATTACTGGACGACAGCTACGAAATGATAGGCAACGGCGGATCGGTTCGCAATCAACTGGAGATACAATCACTTCAACGCCACGATCTGATGGCTGTGTTCACGTGTCAGGCCTCTAATAATAACATATCAATGCCTACCTATACCACAGTCAGCGTCGATCTTAACTGTAAGTTTAGACCGTGTTTTTCTCGATGCATACATTTTTCTCATATGTTTGAATCAGTTTTGCATTTTTACAAATATATTTTTGAATATATTTAAAAGCAGTGTTTAAAGCGTTTCTTTTGTGCGGAAAAAATATTTCTTAGATTTTTTTTGCTATTATTGTCGTTTTCCCCCATATTTTACATTTTATTATTGAATTTCTGTAAAAGCCTCTCAGAAGAGCAGAGCCCCGGCATAAGTGTACATTTGCTTCTGTATGTCACCTATGGTTTACATACAAAGCTGTTAAATAGAGTCCTTTTGTATTGTATTTATTTGTGAAAAGCGATCAAATATTGGATTTCAACGATTTTTTCGCCATTATTTTGATTACAAGAGCTATCGTTTGCAGACCTATTATGTGTTAATTTATTAAAATGAATAATATTTCGCAAACGAAGCGATCGATCAAAAATTTTACCAAATTTGTTGCCAACCAATTGACACAACAAATAGAGATTTATTAAAACTTATTGGATTTTCGTTGAGATTTGGTTTTAAAATTGACAACTAATGCAAATGAAGTGAAAGTTTAATAGAGATATATATAAAGGAATTTCTGGATTTTGTGAACACAAATAGGGATGAAGTGGAGAGAGAGAGAGAGAGAGAGAGAGAGAGAGAGATTGAGCCCAACTTGTGCTCAACACTGGCATCACATCTAATCATTGAAGAGAGAGAGAGAGAGAGAGAGAGAGAGAGAGACTGATTCTTACGCTTCACATAATAATGACAATGATTTAGGATTTGACTTAAAGCTGACGACAATCTGTACAAAATTTATAGCAGTTTTTGCACTTTTGGTTAAAGTTTACGACGACTTCTCAGTTCACAATTGAAAAGCTCACAAAAAATATGCGATTCATCACAAAGAATCAAAAATAGATTTTATAGGTGTCGTCCCTCTTATGACACAATACATACACTGGTATTACAAATACATATTCTGGACAAACACTTCTTTCCTATTCATGTTATTTTTTGTTATATTATATATATTTTTGCTTCAAAATTCAATTCCATGTCTTTCATGAAATCAACTCACAATATGTTATACAATATGTATTAAACTAATGCATTAGTTATTACCGGGAATTACATTATAGTTGCCGTTAAGTTATGTATTGATATTGTCAGTCATCGCTTCAACAGAAAAAATTGTGTCACAATAGAAGTGAATAAACAGAATATAATAATAATTCTTACGATTTCTGCACTTTTTTTTAATTCACTTCACTATATGTTTGAATAAAACTATTATTTCATTTTCTGGGCTCCTATTTAAAGATATTGATTGAAATGCATTTTTATTTCATTCAAACATTTGTTATTTACAATTGAATGCAATGTATGCACACATGAGGCATATATGAGTTGTGTATTGCACTGAACGGACATTTATGATGATTACAGCAATATTTGTGAAATTTATAAAATGCAACATTTATGAGGTTTTTTGGGGAACTTTACTCTTCACTAAATTAGTTTTTCGCCACTTTTTTTTATCTAAAGTTATTATTTAAGTATTTTTTATTGCATTAGTTTTTTAGACGCCACAAATCCATACGAGAGCCCAAATACCTGTGCGCTATCCTTACCAGACATTTATAAATATATAATAATATTTAACAAATATTTTTGTCCTTTTTTGGTCTAAAATATGAGCATTTTTTTACCAAAAATGGAGAAAAATGCCATTAATTTTATTAATTTTTTTCAAAACCATTCACAGAGTAAATACTATGATGATGAATTTTTGTGTGCGATATTATTTATCTTTTTTAAAAGAGCTTATATTTCTTTGCAAATTATAAAGCGATTAGGTTTTACTCATTAAAATTTTTAGCAACAATTTTTTAGTGTTTTTAAAGTAACTCTAAACTAATTTATGAATTAATTCGTGTAATATTAATCAAACATTAGATTAAAAGTTATGTACATTTTTATACAGAAATTTTTATGTATTTAAGAAAAATAGTCTTTAAATCTCCGAAATATTATATTTCAGTATATGTTATGCGAAAGTATAGTTCGTCTCATTTTAAACACCGTATTATAAGCTCCGGTATTAAGTTTGAGCTCAACTCACGATAGCCCTAAAAAATAGCATAAAGAGAATTACTCTCTCTCTCTCTCTCTCTCTCTCTCTCTCTCTCTTCCATTGCTTTCGATCATAATATAAGTGGAGAGAGAGAGAGAGAGAGAGAGAGAGAAATCTATGAAAGTATGGATTGTATTAATGCAATGAAAGCGCGGAAATATACAGTACTGTATAATACAGTGTTATATGAACTCAAGTTTTTAACTCATATTTTCTTAACGCTTTAAAAAGAAATAAAACATTGCATTACAATCACCACTACTTTCAGTGCTTTACTCCCGTATTAATGCAATCATAAGACATGACTGACCGCAACACAAGGCTTTGTTTCATGCGTTTTGGATCTACTTTTCATGGCTTGATATACACCGCAAGAGTCACGCCATTAAACCAAACACTACAACAATATATACGATAAATATATAGCCAACGAATCGATTCGTATTTTTATCCGATTTAATGCTATTTTCATGAAATAAATACCTTTTTTCTCTGTCTTGAAAAGTATCAAAAATTGTAGAAATATATAAATATTTCCATTTAAAGTACAACCGATTTCTTCTCCTTTTCCGATCTGTTGGAGAGAGAGAGAGAGAGAGAGAGATTGCAAAATTGAAAGTTTGCCCAAAAAAGCAATACTAAAGCACAGATAGAGAGGGAGAGAGTGAGTGAATGAGTGTGTGTTTAATACAATGTAATGCGAGTGCAATAGACTGTCGAATGGAGACTGAATGCAGAGAACAAACAATATATCGATTTGTTTCTGCAATCTTCTCCTCAATCCTTCATTTGTTAATTTTGTTCAAAAACTCGTCTTTCGTTTTGCTTTTACTTAAGAAAGAAATATTGGATCCAAAGTATTAGTGATTATATAAAGCAATTTGTAAGACATAAGACATGATTGAATGGAAAATAGATTCTCATTAAACACCAGAAAGTCTTCTCCATCTTCTCTATGGCTTTGAACGACATTTTGAACGTTTAATATTCAAATGAGAAGACATTTGCTTTTTAATTACTTAATACTTAAAGGTTTGCATTCATTTACTTTTCAAAACACTGTTTTTCTTTGCCGTTCAAAACGTTGTGTAAATACAATCATTTGAGAGGAATATTACAAATATTTTATAAGCAATTTTCGCTATTCGTCCGACAAAAACAATATTGACTTTTTGTTTGACGCAAAAATAATTGAAAAATTCTGTGACGAAAACAAAATAGCATTTCGTGCCGAAAAAAATAGTCAAAGAGTAAATACAGTGACGGAAAATGAGCTTAAATTGTAGTCAAACAATGAGTGACAGAATTGTCCGAAACAAATGCTCAGCAAAACTGAGCGGAGAAAACATATACACAAAAAACTAACTTATTTTGCGATTAAAATCTTTTATAAAGCATAATAGGAAAGGAATGCCTTTAATTAATATATTCATCGCTTATATAACACTGAAAATTGTATATAAAATTAGTTATATTTTTCTCGTCAAACGCTGGGATATAAAAGACATTTACCGAAGAAAAATGAGAAAAACTAATTAATCTTTCATTTCCTTTGTTCGTGTAATAGAAAAAGTGTTATTAAATAGCAATGAAATTACCTGTCAATCAATGTTTCAAAGAAATATCAGAAATGTTTTTTATTCAAATCCAATCAAAAAATTGTCAGAAAAAACTTTTTTACTTCAAAATTGATAACAAAAATCTCAATATTTTATCAAAAATTATAATAAAAATATGTTTTGAATGTATTTTCAATTCTTCAAAATTTATTATACAACTGATTATTCGAGTCTAAAAAGCAAACAATTTTATCTCACTTTTTCTGATGTTATCCTTTTCTTAGAGCAACAAAAAAAGTTTACATCAAAAAAATAATATATATTTTACTCTCACTTCAGTTGTTTTTCTTTAAAATTGTCTTTCGATTAAATTTTGATCATAAGATCCACTCTTTTCCACATCTCTTCTCTATTCTCTCCATACAAATTAAAATATCATAACTCTCTCACTCTCTCTCTCTGCTATAACTTTACATTAATTCTAACTTTTGTTGCCTTTTCT